TGAATTTTTACATGGGTAATTTAGTACATAGACGACTACTACGAATAGATAAATATATTGCATTCGAATCCTTCATTAATTTTTGCAAAAACAAATAACGAGATTAATGATCCAATATATTCCGAGATTTGCTTCGTCAATATTTTTGGTATGGTTTGTCTACAGATACACAAAAGGAAACAACATTAAATATTAAATAATAACTGAATATTCAGCATCAATATATTTATTTCGAATATAAATCGAAATATTTTATATTTTTCAATTTGTTAGAGATTAAACCAAAAAATTCAACATAAATCGAATGTCATTAATTGAAAAATACAAAATATTTTAACAATAAAATCTAAACTAAATTATTAGCAACTAAACTAAATTAATAATATATGTTTTAAAATAAAATTAAATATTTGCGGGTTGGTAAATACTAAAATTATAAATATTTATCAACTATATTATCAATTTTGCAACGAGAAATAGTTATCAACGATGTTACCAATCTATAAAAGTTTATGATATTAATAGTGTAGATTTATACTATTAATTGGGAAGCATTGGATAAAATATAACCTTATAAAAGGTAAATAATTACAAAGACTGCCATTGATATTTTTAAATTTGAAGAAGAAAAATTAATAAACCGAAACGGGTAATTGTGTATATTTAATTCGAAATTGCATATATGTAAACTAAATTCTTTTCGTAAGATATTATTAGATATTTTCGAAAATGGCGATCTATATCTAATAACAAATTATCATTTCGTTTAGATTTTTAAATATTTCCTTAACAATACTATGCTAATTAATTCTGATTGGTACACATAGAAAAAAGATTTTTCAATTTTGATTTTCTAAATATGAAAAAACATTTATTATATTTGTCGTATATAATCTAAACGAAATACTTCCATCCTTTAAAATACAGCTTATTCAAAAACTAATTTTTTGGATTCTAATTTTGTAAATATCTAGAAAATATTTCAAAGATAGATTAAAATATTTAACATTCAATTAGAGTTTAAATGATATAAAATTTTAGAATATATTTTTTTTAAAAATGGGTAGTTTTCATTATTTTAAATATATATAACTAACCTAAATTTTTAATATATTTTTAAAACGTACTATAATAGTTACTATATCTCCTAATAAATTATTCAATTTCAAATCAAATAAATTAATTTATTTTGTACCAAATTGTTACAAGATTTTGGAATACACATTCTTCTAGAATTGATTATTTTCTTTTTCAAATAACATTAAAATAAATTTAAATACAAATGTTTTAATTTTTAATGAAAATATTTCAAAATGAGAAATATCAAATTTAAGGAACTATTGAATTCAAATCAAGATGACTAATTTAACTAATTACAAGCTACTTTTTAATTTACACAGTTTTTACAATTAATTCAAAATAATTCTCTAAATTTATTCACATTAAACTATCTCTTAGTTTTATGATTTTGTTAAGATTAGTTGATAGATCATTTATTTTTTCAATTTGTTTTCATGTTTTAATTTACGGTATGTTTACAAATTTTAACAGAACATATGCTAATCCCAAAACTTACAACCGTATATTGCATGGTGTTTAAAGAAAAGCAAAAATGAACTCGAAAAATGATATTTAAATTAATATAACGAGAATAGGAATTACGAAACAGGAACGCCATGGAAGGAGATATGACGGGATAAAAACATAGATTTTAGATTAGAACAAGTTACAATTCAAACAAATTAACGTTTGCAATCAAATATGTAACATGTGTTTTTAATTTATATAGCATAAAAATGTTCAAAATAATAAATGTTATTATAGTATGTTCTATAATAGTTAAAATTTAAAAAACAAACAAATGTAATTTAATATTTATGAACAAAATATAAAACAAGAAGAATAAAGAAGTCAATTAATTTACAAGTTTAATTTTCACAAGTTTAATAAAAATCTATCTGACCATTAACTCGATTCATTTTGATCTCGGTCCGACCATTTGATTGTTAAGAATTTTAAAATACTACTAAAATCATTTTTATTTCAAATATTTCAACCAACTAAT